CAACTTTAACTTTGAAGACGCTGCTAACAGCCAGCCTATGGCTGGTGGTTCTGGCCTCACAGTCGCTGACAAAGCTGCTGACAATGCGGACAAAGGCAAAGCTGCTAGTGTTGACCCACCGATCGATGATGATGGCTTCATTGACGACTCCGACGATGACATGGAGATGGATCTGTCTCTGGAGGCTGAGTGTCGTCTTCGCACTGCCATTATCCTGCTCATTCCGTTTGCCCTGCACAAGGAAATTTCAGGCATCATTTTTGCTATTCGTACGCTGATTAAGCGGGGGTGGAATGCAGAGCTCTCTACAGAAACATCTACGCCCTCGACGAAGTTCCAGGAGTTACCGGCTGCGTATTTCGCCAAGGAACGCTTCCGCAGGCTTCAAGTCTCCTTCGTCCTGGAATCTGATGCGGAATTGGTGAAACGCAAGGATGTGATGTATCAGCGGCTGAAAGGAGATTTGGTGACCCTGCACTGGCAACACACGGAGGATGTGGCTTACGCGAGAGAGAAGGCTTTCCACCCAGAAGCCATTGAAGTGATCATCAAAAGGGTCTCGGCTACGGTGGAGCTGGATATGATTACAAGGAGGATGTCTACGTACCTGATCACCAGTAGTAAGCGGACGGCTTTCATGCGCAACTCCAACTTCCACCACGTGCTGCACCCTGTCACTGGCGCGGATACGGATACTGACAAAGGCCTGGTCTACGCTCACCCTGGTAATAAGCACCGCTGGCTGCACGCGATCGCTGACCCCGCTGACAACGCGAACAGGCTCATGGTCCATTACCCTTCGCTAACTTGTGCGCTCTGTGGCTGTCAGCATTATGATAACTATCATAATGCTTTTGTCACTGAACGCCAAACTAACGTAGGGAAATGGAACCTAACCCTGGGTGTGAGGATCTAGGATCGAGCTCAGAAAAGAGAATTGTAATTGATTCAATCACCTGGGTACAACACGAGGCTATATATAGTCTCGACACAAGGCCAGTTACCCAGGTGTTACGCGAATGTTCTGAGGGTCGCGAAGCGCCCCGAACAGAACCTTCCCGAACTCAGTAGAAAGCAATTCGGTGGAAAACCGAATAGGCTTGAGTTCGGTACACGTAACCTGGTTCGGTGCTACCGTATCACCTCGGATATAAGCGCAGGTGCGCTTATAATAGAACAGTGATTTTTAGGGGGGTGCGCATATAATTGAGTCAGATTTATAAGCGCATGCGCTTATAAAATGACAATTACAGAAGTATGATTTAAACTTACCAAATTGTACATCTCAGTCGTGCAATTTCAATCGAATCAGAACATTACAGCGTCCCAAATGAGAGAATCGCGCGAGGGCGATTTCTGCCGCCGCACTGGGGCGAGGACACGTCACTTCGCAGAGGGATGTGTCAAGCTCGCCCCGAAACAATGTACGAGCAAGTCGCACGGAGTCGCTTGCTCGCAGCGCAGAGGCACAGTCGTTCCCGAGCCCCCCCGCCTGCCCCTTTTTCGCTCGCACAACGCACAGGACAGTCGTTTCCAGCGCCCATCTTCCCTCCCCCCCCCCCCCTCCCAACGATGTGCTGTCAGTCAGTCAGCTTCGCGCCGTTTCGCTTCTCCTGCGAATCGCTCGCCCTCGAGCGAGTCAAACAAAGTAGGAACGGATCTGGACTCGCTGCAAAAAGGGAAATCGTTACTGTTTTAATCAGGATTTAATAATATAATTATTGATGCGCTTATAATAAGTCAAGGTTTTACAGGAGGTGCGCTTATAATCGAGGATCGGGCATAAGCGCATTGCTCCAGATATAAGCGCATGCGCTTAACATAGGCCTGCGCTTATATCCGGGGTGATACGGTATAACTATAATAAAATATAGGAATGCACCTAACCGGAAATCAATCATATCTATGCATGATAAAATAAACCCAAGCTAGATATAGCGTAATAAAGTCTAGGCAAGCTAGCAAAGCCAGCATAAGCCGTCGTACTCTCACACGTCCCCCCCTCAAAGCTGGGTGGCATGAGAAACACCCTGCTTGACAAGATAGTCCTTGAGAGCACGGCGTGCGTTGCCCACATCAGCTTCTGCAACCCAAGTGTCCTCAGTGGGGTCGTATCCTTTCCAGCGTATCAGGAACTCGAGGGTCTTGCTGCCGCGGCGCCGATGAGTGAGAACGCGCTCCACTCCGTACTCTGGTTCATCCTGGATGAGAACAGGTGGTGGTGGCGGTAGCTGCCATCCCTGGAACTGTTGGTTGGGGTCCTTGAAGGGTTTCAGTAGCTGAACATGGAAAGCATTGTGAAGCTTCCACGTATCTGGTAAGCGCAAGCGGAATGTAACCGGTGTCACCTGTGCCTCAACGAGAAAAGGACCACAGAAGCGAGGCCGGAGTTTGGATGGGAGGTGAGACAAGTTCAAGTTGCGTGTGTCAAGAAGCACCTGATCCCCGACTGCTACTGAGTGATCTCGTCGCTGGCGATCGGCATACTGCTTCTGGGAGGTCTACATCGTGGTGAGACGTCGCTGAGTCTTCTCCCATAGCTGCTGCATGGTGGTGACGAAGTCATGTGCGGCTTGGACAAGTGCCGGTGTGGTTGGCTGCTGTGGTGTAAGTGGTTCCCGTCCATAACACAGGAAGAAAGGAGTCCCTGTGGCCGCATGTGACGCGTTGTTGTAAGCGAACTCTAGGGTCGGTAACTGTGTGTCCCAGTGGCTGACGTCGTCTTTGAAAGCGGAAAGCAGTAACTGCTCAACCACTTGATTGAGTCGCTCGATTTGTCCGTCAGTCTGTCGGTGGTATGCTGGGGACATCGCAAGTTTAGTCCCCAATAATCCCATGAGCTCCTTCCAGAACTTACTCGAATTTAGGGTCTCTGTCTGAGATGAGTGTAGCAGGGATGCCATGGATGGTGATGATGCGGTCGAAGAAGAGGCGAGCAGTTGCTTCAGCTGTAGCTGTGGCGTTGGTCGGTATGAAGTGACCCATTTTGGAGAACTTATCGATCACCACGAGGATGGAAAAATGTCCCCGTGAGGTCGAAGGAAGTCCTATGATGAAGTCAAGGCTAACGACCTACCATGGTTGCTCCGGTACGGGTAGAGGCTGAATTAACCCTGCTTTGTTCTGCTTGCTACTCTTCATCCGCTGGTATGTGTTGCTTGAGGTGACGAACTGCTGCACGTCTGCTGCCATCCCGGGCCAGTAGTAATACTTCGCTATTCCCGCTAACGTTTTGTTGCTCCCGAAGTGTCCCGCGTATGGTATGTCGTGAAACTCCTCCAGTAGAATCTGTCGGAGTGGGGCATTGTTCGGTGCCAAAATCTTTTATGTGCCCTTCCTTACAGCTAAGTCTTTCTCCCACGGTAACAGCTACTTAGTCTGTGCTGTAGCGATATCTGCGTCCACGGAGTATCCATGTTGGAATAGACCCTTGAGCAGAGGGTTCATCCCGTCGAGCTGGATGCCTGCTACATGTCCGGGGCGGCTCAACGCGTCTGCCTTGTTGTGTAGCCCGGGCTTGTAGACGATGTCGTAGTCGAAGCGAGTTTCCAGGAAGTCCACCCACCGCACCTGTCGTTGTGAGAGCGTCGGCTGCGACTTCAGGTTTTTGAGACTGCAGTGGTCAGTATAGACTGTAGTCTTGGCTCCCTCTGGGTAACACCTCCACGACTTGAAGGCTATGACTATCGCTAAGGCTTCATTGTCATGGATGGGGTAGTTCAGTTCTGCTCCGTGTAGCTTCTTACTGAGGTAGGCGATGGGCTGCAAACCGCGTCTGTGATCTTGCATCAGTACTGCTCCGACTACCTGGTCACTAGCGTCTGCTTCCACCACGTAGTCCTTGTCTGGGTCTGGTAAGATGAGTACTGGCGTTGTAGTCAGTGCTGACTGTAGCTGCTCCATGGCTTGCTGATGAGGAGTATCCCATTTGTAGGGCATATCCTTTTTCAGTAGGTCGGTCAGTGGCGCTACTCTCTTAGCGTACTGTGGCACGAACCTGTTGTAGTGGTCGACGTCGGCCCCTCCTCCGTCGACCACCAGGTCACGCCTGGTCGACCAACCACCAAGTCGACCAGCAGGCCTGGTCGACCAACCACCAGATCGACCAGCAGTCCTGTCAGCCGACCACCCAAGTCGGCTGCCCCAAGTTGGCGTCACGAAGTCGACGTCCTCCGCAGGTCGACTTCCCAGGTCGACCTCCCTGAAGTCGGCGCCACCCTGAAGTCGACGCCCGTGCAGGTCGACTTCCTCGTCAACCAGCTCGCCCACTGCTGCAAGTCGGCTGTTCCCCTCACACCCGACCACGAATTCGACTCCGCCCAAGCGAGGACGGGGCCAACACACAACTCCCGTTGACATCCTCTCCTCTCCTCCGCTTACCCGGTGGTGTCTGAGAGCAGAGAGCGCAGCAGCCATTCTAGAATGGAGACTTTTGAGACGTCTCAAAAGTCAGCAGCCATTCTGAAATGGAGCCATCCACATGTCAGAGATGTTTATTCCAATCACCAACTTACCTCTGCAGGCCAAATAGTGCCCACGCAATGCCCCCAAGACTCACCCACCAGTGCCATCCCTCCCCTCTCCTCCTCTCACCCGGTGGTGCCTGAGAGCAGAGAGCGCAGCAGCCACAGTGGCACCGTCGACATCAGGGATATCTTATCCGATCACCACCACCTGGCACGAGCATGGGGGCAGAGAGATAAGCGGAGAACAGTGGAGAGAAGAGAGAGAGAGAGAGAGAGAGAGAGAGAGAGAGAGAGAGAGCAGCAGCAGACCCACACGCATGATGCCATTACCTTGCATGTCTGTACACGTTTCACAATCAATGAAAGGGCCATTAGAGAGAGCAGCAGCAACAGTGGCACCATCCACATCAGGGATGTCTGTTCCGATCACCACCACCTGGCATGGATGGATGCGTGTGGGAGGCACGAGGCAGCAAGACGAGCAGCAAGCAGTGGGGAGGAGAGAGAGCAGCAGCAACAGTGGCACCATCGGCGTCAGGGATGTCTGTTCCAATCACCACCACCTGTCATGGATGGAGCGTGGAAGGCAGGCAGGGAGACAAGCGACATGCAACGGGGAGCAGGGAAAGCAGCAGCAACAATAGCGCCATCGACATCAGGGATGTGCGATTTGATCCAATCACCACCACCTGGCATGGTGGAGTGTGCGGGGCAGAGACATGAGTGGCACGCAATGGCGGGGAGAGAGGGAGCGGCAGTAGCAGTGGCACCATCCACATCAGGGATTTCTATTCAGATAACCACCCCCCCCACCATCTGGCATGGCGGAGTGTGTGAGGCAGAGGGACGAGGGACATGCAACGGGGAGGAGAGAGAGCAGCAGTGACAATAGAGCCATCCATATCAGAATTCCTGTTGCTGTTGCCATCCAGATCATCACTGCCTGCCATGAGAATCTCTCGCCAAAAGGGCGGCAGCATGGAAAGGTGAGGAGTGAAACTGTGGAAGCGACTTCTGTTCAGGTAAAAACCGCGAGGGTGATTTCTTGTCATTCCTTGTGTAAAGAGTGGAAAGCAGGGAAGACCGTGGAAAATTTGACTGAGCAGACTGATTTGCCGCTACTCGCAGAATTTGCAGAACTCATCCTGAGGCATTGACATGCATTACCCCCAAAGCTCACCCCACATCAACCCCGATATGCTCTCACCCGTTGGTACCCCAGGCCCAGCACGTGCTGGAAGGCGGCTTGCATGCGCGCCCCCACGTCTCCCCCCACCTGTATGGGGTTGCAAGGGATTAGGGTTTCAAGGTTTAGGGTTCGGGTTTAAGACGGTGGAAGGCTGCTTGCATGTGCACACCCACGTCTGCCCCCACCTGTATGGGGTGGAAATTTGGGTTAAGGTTCCAGGGTTTAGGGTTAGTTCATTTTTAGGGTGGTGGAAGGCTGCTTGCATGTGTGGCCCCACGCCTCCCCTCCCCCCACCTGCATGGATGGTGGCAGGGGAGCGATTGATGCACGCATGGAATGGACTATGGCATATGGGCGGCAGGCGTGCGTTGCATGTGAGAATGATGGTTGCAAAAGGTGTGAGCATGGGGTGTGAGCACGGGGTGTGAGCATGGGGTGTGAGCATGGGGTGTGAGCATGGGGTGTGAGAATGGGGTGTGAGAATGGGGTGTGAGAATGGGGTTTGAGAATGGGATGAGACTGCAGAGCTGAGGTAAGGTGAACATTTCACCTGAGGCACAAAGCGGAGGGAGGTGGAGGATGGCAGCACCTTCTGCATCCACCGTTTGATCTCGCCTTCATCCGACGGCTCAGAGAAGAAGATGAAGACATGCGTGGATGCGTGCCTGCCTGCCACACCACAACCATGGCTGATCAACAAGACTGTCATGTCACAGCCGTCTGTGTGTCGGAGTGATTCGGAGGCCACTGCCAACTATGAGGCGGGCAGGAAGGCAGGCAATGTCGCAGGATGGTCGCATTGCGCATGCCAACTGTCACGTAAATGAGGCACATCGTCATCCTCGGACATGCTCCCGCCGCGACCATGCGAGGCTGAGCTAGAGGCCACGCTACAACAGCTAGTATCATAATAGCCACAGCCTGCGCCTCGCTATAGTCACGTACAGGTCGGGGCAGCGCGCGATATTGGTGACGACGTGCTCGCAGCACGCGCAGTAGAAGTCGCACACCGCGTCCGCCCCCACGCCGGCCGCCAGGCGCGTCTTCACGCGCCCCGGCGCCGGCCGCTTCACGAATATCATCACCGCCTGCTGCGCGCCGAGCGGCTCCGTCGCTTCACTCCGCTCCGCTTGCGCTTCAATCGCACTCACTTTAGGGTCGCTCATTCTAGCGTCGCCCATACTACTGGCGTCGCACACTCCAGAGGCGCTAATTCGCTCAGGCTCGCTCTAAGAAAATCAGGAGATTGAAGCAATTGAGAGAACGAAGGTGCCTTGATCCTAAAACAGCAATGGCGATTTCCTGGCTGCGGATGCAGCAGTCACGCCGTACGCGGCGAGAAGGATCGACATATGGACAGCTCAGCTGAGCTGACGTGTTAACAGATACGAAATACCAGGCGCCTTGGGATTGGCGGAAAATTTGAGCAGGCTGACTGGTCAACGGCCCAGAAGAAAATGGAAGGGAAAAGCAGTAGTTTACCGGCCTGGGGGGAGAAGGGCTGTTTGGGTGCGGCTCAGTGAGGTTCTTTGCGTTCTACAGCTGTCAAATATTGTTATCAAACGGTTCCCCTCTGACTCGCGAAAACACTTGGTTCGATCGCCAATCTCGCGGTGTTCTCGAAGCAGCTCGTTCGCCAATGGGCTTCGAGTTTTTTCGTAGTTATCCAATGGGATCCTGGCTTTGGAACACCGACCATCATGGGGGCGTGTGACCAGACAACCAGATCTCCGCTGTGGCGCGCAGCAGCGGCGGAGGGAAATCCGCAGCTCAGCCAAAACAAATAGCCCTACTGCTCCATTTGCTAGCTTCTCCCGTTCAGAACACGAAGTGCTTGACAGATTCACAGATTCCTTGTGTATTTTCGCCACGAAGTGCTTCGAGCATAGTTCACAACAACGTAGTTGGCGCATACTATCGCATACTGTCGCCTACGGTCGCTTACTGTCGGATACTACCCTCCATTCGCCATGAGCGAGAGCAGCGCAGCGACGGCCACGGCGACAGCGGCAGGCGTCAGCTTGAAGCAGCGCCGCACGGCGGCCGACGGATCTCAGCCGTCCGTCGCGCCGGACGCCGGCAACGCGATCAAAGATACCGACGCGTTGAAGGACAAGGCGAAGCCACGTGGCGCGTCGCCGCGCCGGCGGTCCGGCTGGCTCGTGCTGGTGCTCGTGGTTCTGGTGGCGGCAGCGGCGGGCGCGGGATATTATTTGTGGCGGGAATACAGCGAGTTTGTCGCGATTGACGACGACGAGGAGTTCGAGATCGAGCCGCCCGTCGAGAAGGTCGCGACGCGGTCCAACCCGCGGAAAGCCCAGTGGCAAGCCGATGTGAGTCGCTGCGTTCGTCGCAGGATGCGTCGCCGACGTTTGTCGCCAGTCGCGGATTGCGTCGCAAGGGTGGCGACAAGTGCCTGCGATCCGTTATTGTCAACCCATCCAATTCTCGTAGTGTCTGCGCCGGTTCTTGTTCCTCGTTTCTATATCCCCCAACTGTGCGTGATGCGTCACGCGTAGAGGATATACCACAGCTGAACCAATGCACGGCGCTTGAACCGCCTTAAAACCAACAGCGGCGCATCGCACCCACTCCAACCTCTCTCAGCCCCGCTGCTACTAACATTTCAGCTGAAATTAGGTTTCTCCTCACCGACTCCAGTCCTCCCCTTCTGGCTTCTCAACCTTTCCGTCCCCCCCCCTCCTCCTTGCCCCATCCGCTGCTTCCCATCTGCGCGCTTGCATGCCATGCCTCACGTGTTGCTTGTGACTGTATCAAGTACAACAGAAGCTGTGGAGCGCGGAGGAACTGGCCAAGTGCAACGGATCGCAGAAGGGCGTTCCACTGTTTACATGCCCATGCCCATGCCCTGCCCCCTCGCACGCCATGCCTCACTGTCTCCCTTGTGACTGCCTCGTTTGTGGATGTCTCGTTTATAACAGAAGCTGTGGAGCGCGGAGGAACTGGCCAAGTATAACGGGTCGACGAAGGGCGTTCCGCTGCTGCTGGGCATTCTGGGGTGAGTGGCGCGCGGGGGGCATTCTGGGGTGAGAGGGGGGGGGGGGGGAGCGGGTGAGTGGGCCGCTGCGCTGAATTGGTCAGAAGAATGCGTGGGCAGGGGACAGGAGAGGGTGACTGGGGCGCGCGTCATGCCCAATGGCCCATGCCCAATGGCCCATGCCCAATGGCCCATGCCCAATGGCCCATGCCCAATGGCCCATGCCCAATGGCCCATGCCAATGGCCCATGCCCAATGTGCCCAATGGCCCATGCCCAATGGCCCATGCCCAATGGCCCATGCCCAATGGCCCATGCCCAATGGCCCATGCCCAATGGCCCATGCCCAATGGCCCATGCCCAATGGCCCATGCCCAATGGCCCATGCCCAATGGCCCATGCCCAATGGCCCATGCCCAATGGCCCATGCCCAATGGCCCATGCCCAATGGCCCATGCCCAATGGCCCATGCCCAATGGCCCACGCCCAATGGCCCATGCCCAATGGCCCATGCCCAATGGCCCATGCCCAATGGCCCATGCCCAATGGCCCATGCCCATTGGCCCATGCCCAATGGCCCATGCCCAATGGCCCATGCCCAATGGCCCATGCCCAATGGCCCATGCCCAATGCCCCATGCCCAATGGCCCATGCCCAATGGCCCATGCCCAGTGGCCCATGGCCAATGCCCCATGCCCAATGCCCCATGGCCAATGCCCCATGCCCAATGCCCCATGGCCAATGCCCAATGCCCCATGCCCAATGCCCCATGGCCAATGCCCAATGCCCCATGCCCAATGCCCCATGCCCAATGCCCCATGCCAAATGCTACATGCCCAATGCCCCATGCTCAATACGCCATGGCCTGTGAGCCATGGCCTATGCGCAATGCACCATTCTTCATACCCCATACCCCATATACCATGGGCAGGGGTCACTAGGGCAAGGGGCAGAGGTCCGATTAGTGGCGCCTCAAGAACACACCCCAGACCCCATACCCCATAACCCAACCCATACCTCAAGGGCAGGAAGCACTACGGCAAGGGGCAGAGGTCCGTTCTGAGGCGCCTCAAATACCCACCCCACACCCTTCACCCGGCGCCCCAATCCTCTATCCAATGCCCCATACGTGCTGCAGGGACGTGTTTGACGTGACCAAGGGCAGGAAGCACTACGGCAAGGGGCAGGGTTACAACCACTTCGCTGGCAGGTCAGCGAAACCACACCTCGCACAGAGCTTTGAGTCGACTTAAAAGCAAACCGCACCTTGCACAGAGCATCCCGGAACAATCGTTCAGTGCATGCTGCTGCTGCTTCAGTGGCTCCTAGTTTTGATGCCGGATGGTTGTGCTTTCGAAACCAGCTCTGGCTTAAAATGCTGCATCCATAGGCGTGTCAGTGGCTGTGTTGTTTATCTTCTCTGCCATCATCCTTGTCATGTCCACTGCTTCTCCCATCCTCTTTATTCCTGCCCCTGTCCCCTTTCTATTTCCCTCTCTCAACCCGCTTCCCCGTGTGGCAACCTGCGTTCACGCCCTCTTTCTCTCTCCTCCGCGCCTCTGTCTCACACTTTCCCCCCTCTCTCTCTCCTCCGCGCCTCTGTCTCACACTTTCCCCCCTCTCTCTCTCCTCCGCGCCTCTGTCTCACACTTTCCCCCCTCTCTCTCTCCTCCGCGCCTCTGTCTCACACCTTCCCCCCTCTCTCTCTCCTCCGCGCCTCTGTCTCGCACTTTCTCCCCTCTCTCTCTCCTCCGCGCCTCTGTCTCGCACTTTCCCCCCTCTCTCTCTCCTCCGCGCCTCTGTCTCGCACTTTCCCCCCTCACTTGCACCTCCCCCGTCTCCCTCGTGTCTCTCCCCTTCCCACCAATCCCGTCTCACAGGGATGCCACAAGGGCATTTGTCTCAGGCAATTTTTCAGGTATGACTTTACCATACCATGCCATGACATACCATGCCATACCATACCATGACATGCCATACCAACCCATGCCATGCCATAGCTTACCACGCATGAATGGTAAGCCTGCTTCATATCAAATTCAAGCGTTTCTGTCCACTTTTGACCTTCAGCCATCCACCAGCACCACACATGGCACCACATGGCACCACATGGCACCACATGGCTCCTTCAAGGCTTTACTCCTCTCCCCCACACCTTCCTCTCCCCATCTGTCCCCATCTGCCTTGTTCAGACCTTCTCCATTCCTTTTCCATCCCTTTCCCCCTCTTACCATCCCTTACTCTCCCATTCCCTCCTGTTTTAACACGCTCTCCATCCCTGTCCACTCCTTTCCATCCCTCTCCATCCCTCTCCATCCTGCAGGTGACGGCTTAACGGACGATCTGACGGGGCTGTCAGGCGAGCAGTGCATCGGCATTGCAGACTGGCGCGACTTTTACTTCAAAACCTACATGTGAGCTGCTTTAGTCTCAAACCTTCAGTGCGTTGCGTTGGTCTCAGCACCCCACTGTATGCGCTGGATGCGAGGAGAAAGCATGTGAGGGGCTGTCAGGCGAGCAGTGCATCGGCATCGCTGACTGGCGGGACTTGTACTTCAGAACATGTTTGACGCGTTGCTGAAGGAGGGCAAGCGGCTGAGAGACGTAGCCAAGGTGCTCAGCATTCACCCTTCAACCCTTCTCCTCCTTGCCCTTCCTTTCCTGTCTCTCTTTGCAGCCACGTGGGCAAGCTGGTGGGGCGGTTCTACGACGAGCAGGGCAAGCCAAGAGATGCTCTGGGCGAGTTTGACGAGCTTCTCAAGGAGGGCAAGCGGCTGAGGGACGTGGCCAAGGTGGCGGAGAAGAAATACCCTGGGTGCAACTCACGATGGGCTCAGAACGAGGGCGGCAAGGTGAGGCGCCTCCCTCCCCGCGCATGTCTCCACACCTCCTTTTCCCCACTCATCGTTTTGAGACATCTCATCTCACCAGCCCCAAGGAGGTGGGGAAGAAGTACCCTGGGTGCAACTCGCGCTGGGCGCAGAACCACGGCGGCAAGGTGAGGCGCGTCCCTCGTTGCACATCTCTCCCCACCTCCCATTCTCCGCTCATGGTTTGAGTCACCTCAGTGGCCAAAGTGGGTGGAGAAGAAACACCCTGGATGCAACTCGCGATGGGCGCAGAACGAGGGTGGCAAGTTGTGGCCTCTCTCTCTTCGCTTCTACTCCCTGCCTTCTCCTCCCACCCTGCGTTCCTGTCTTAACTTGTGAGGCGCCTCACAAGGCAAAGGCCTCAGAACGAGGGTGGTAAGATGTAGCCCTGCGCCATCCGACTCCCACGTGTGGGCCAGTGGGGGCAGTAGGACGGGCGGGAGCAGCTCGCGTCGCGCTCTGACCTTCAGGAGTACAATGGGTGCCATCCTGACGCCACCAAGTGCGTGTCTTCAACTCCCCTTATCCTCCTTGCCCCGTTTTTTCCCGTCCTTGTATCCTTCTCTCCCAGGTGTGGTGTGACAGTGGGGTGCCCCGTAAGATCCCTCGAATCCCAGAGGCAGAAGGCGGGCCAGTGGGGGGCAGTGAGGACACGCGCTGTGCGTGCTTCACCAAGGAGCAGCTCGCCTCGCGCTCTGACCTTCACGAGTACGATGGGTGCGACCCTGACGCCACCAAGTGTGTCTCCTCCCCTCCCGAAGACCCCAATGCTGCATCTCTAGGGGATGGGGGTGAGGAGGAGGAATGAAGGGAGTGAGGCAGCCGGGGGTTGGGTGGGGTGGGGAGTGGGGGTGCGGTTGCAGTGTGGGATGCAGGGAGATGGAGGGAAGGGGGGGACAGTGTGGGATGTAGGGAGGGGGGGAAAGGGGGCTGGCAGTGGGGGGATGCACCCAGGAGCAGCTCGCCTTGTGTAGGGTTGGGATGACCCTGGTGTCACCGAGTGTGTCTCTTCCCCTCCTGAAGACCCCAATGCTGGGAGGATGGGAGCAAGGAGGATGAGGAATGAGGGGCAAGCAACGGAGAGCGAGGGCTGGTAGTGCTGCGGCTGAAGGAGTGGGGCGAGAGAGGGGCAAAGGCAGGATGGGCGGACAGAGAATGCCATAGTAGGATAGGGTGCTTGGCATGAGAATAGTTGCATGAGAGTAGTACCACTATGCTAGTTCATGTTTTGATACTTGCAATATTGAGGAGGCTATACAGTTTAGGAGATGCTGTTAATGAGTATGGTGTATGCAGGGTGGGTATGCTGTAACGATTTGCCTTGTTATGCAGTAGAATGTAACCCGTCCCTGCGATAAACATTTGTTGACTGCACTCATGGCTGAAAAACCATTCAGCCAGTGGCAAGCTTGCATATGCTTTCATACAAAAATCCCCCGAATATAAGACTCTAGGGTCTTATGTAAATCCCCTTGTAAAAAGGAAGGAAACAAAATATATTAGCCGGGGGTGCTCTATGTTGGGGGGGGCTTATATCTGGGGGATTATGGTAACAAGATTCGTGCTCATACCAATACTCTGCATTGCCACTTGCAAAATTTGGAAATGCCTAGTCTACCCCAAATCAGTAGGATTTTGATAGAAAACGAGTTGCAGTGTGTAAAGGCATGTTGTTAAGCGACAGGATCAGCTGTACCAAAATTCGCTCAAGGGGTTTGGCTCATGCCCCCCATCTGCGCTACGGTATCTCTCTCTTCCCCCTTCTCCCCCTTCCCGGCCTCTCCCTCGCCTCCCTCCCTCCCACCACCAGCCATTTCCACCCACTGCACGCCACCCCCCATCGGACCTCCTACTGCTGCGTCACCTCCTCCCCGCCCACCCACCTGCTCAACCCTCGTAACAGATCTCACTTGCCTTTCTCCCTTTCCCCTGCACCTCTTGTACCACCCTCACTCCCTCCACCAGCCATTTCCAGCCACTGTGCTGCTGCCACTCGCCGTCTAAACTCCACCTGTCGCTGCTTCACCTCCTCCTCGCGCACCTCCCCAGGTTCCAACGTTATACCGTCCCTCACCCCCTTTTCTCCCCCTCAACCACGCCTCCCGTGCCTCCCTCCCTACCCCCAACAGCCATTTCCAGCCGCTGTGCTGCTGCCACTCTCCGTCTGAACTCCTCCTGCTGCTGCTTCACCTCCTCCTCACCCACCCGTCTGCTCCAACCTTCTACCATCCCTCATGCCCCCTTCTCCCCCACGCCTGCACCTCCCAGGCCTCCCTCCCTCCCTGAACCAGCCATTTCCAGCCGCTGTGCTGCTGCCACTCTCTGTCTGAACTCCTCTTGCCGCTGCTTCACCTCCTCCTCACCTAGCCGCCTCACAGGAAGCCACTCTGGCCACTCCCACCGCCCTCCCGCCTTCACCCCTGCCTGCTCGCCCCGCTCCCCCACGCCCCGCTCCCCCACGCCCCGCTCCCCCACGCCCTGCTCCTTCCCTTGCAGTGCCCCTGCCTGGGCTCCAGCTGCTGCTGCTGCTGCTGGTGACTGCGAGAGGTGGGCTGCAGTGGCTTCTGGTGGGGACGATGCTGTAGTGGCTGCACCTGTGTCTGCTGCCGCGTCTGCATGGGAGGCATGAGGTTCGGCAGTGTGTTCAGCCACGCGGGCAGCCAGGAGCTGCTGAATGCGCCACTCCTTGAAACTTTCCACGGCTGCCCGGTGCCCTGCCCCGGCCAGGCCAAACATTACAGCTGCCCGGATGGCGATGTCTCGGCTGCCTGCAGGACAGAGAGGAGGGGAAACACATTAGAGAAGAAGAGAAGGCGTAAGAGAAAAGCATGGAGCTTCCTCCATGGAGGGAGCTTCCAACATGGAACATGGAGCTTCCTCTTAAGCACCATGTTCCATGTTGGAAGCTCCATGTTAAGCCCCTCTTCCTGCTGGAAGAGAGATGGACGTTCTTTTCTGTTATGTCCCTTTGCGTGGAACCTTTGTCTCCACGCGCCATCTTCTCTCTCGCCTCTCTGTCTCACCATTCCCTCACACCCCTCATCACACCTCTGCATCTCAACTCTGCATCTCATTGTTCCCTCCAACCTCTCCCTCACCTATCCCTCTCGCCTCTCGCCTCCCCCTCACCGCCCAAATCGTGCCCCAGCCAGAGCACCCCCTAGCAGCGCAATGGTGGGGTGGGTCGGATGTAGGTGGGGAAGGGAGAAGCGCACACCTCTCACCCTTCCAACCCTTCGCTTCCAAAAACCCCTCTCACCCCTCTCCCCCAAACCTCTCGCTCATACCTCTCGCCCTCACCTCACCCTCTCACCTCCCTCCCAACCAACCCCCTCCTCCCCTTCTCACCTCGCGGGCGCCCAGACAAATCCCAGCCAGAGCGCTCCCCAGCAGCCCGTTGGTGGGGCCGGAGGCACGGGAGGGAGAAGCGCACCTCTCACACCCTTCCCAACCCACCGCCGTTTCTCTCCAATCCCCCTCTTACTCCTCTCCCACCCTCCCCCCCTCTCACCTCGCAGCCGCCCAAAGAGTGCCCCAGCGAGAGCGCACCCCAGCAGCCTGTTGGGGGGTCGGAGGCCAGAGAGAATCGCACCTCTCACACCCTTCCCACCTTCCCCACCTTCCCCACCTTCCCCACCCTTCCACGCTCCTTCCCGTCTCTTCCCAACCCACCCTCTCTCACCTCGCAGCCGCCCAAAGAGAGCTCCAGCCAGAGCGCCCCCCAGCAGCCCGTTGGTGGGGTCGGAGGCCAGAGAGAATCGCACCTCTCACACCCTTCCCAACAACCCAATCCTTGTCTTTCCAAACTCCCTCTTACCCCACCTCTCCCCACCCCTTTTCTCACCTCGCAGCCGCCCAAAGAGAGCTCCAGCCAGAGCGCCCCCCAGCAGCCCGTTGGTGGGGTCAGAGGCCAGAGACTATCGCACCTCCCTCACTACCTCCTCCAGACCTGATGAAGGGTGGGGGGAGGGGTGGGGAGGGGGGCTCACGGGGGGAAGGGCGGGCAGGGGGCGGTCAGAGCGCCCCCCAGCAGCCCGTTGGTGGGGTCAGAGGCCAGAGAGAAGCGCACCTCCCTCACTGCCTCCTCCAGGCCTGAGGTTGGGAAACGGGTGAGGGGGAGGGGTGAAGCGGGTGGAGGGGCAGGAGGGAGGGCAAGGAGGGAGGGGGGGGGGGGGGGGGGAGGTGGGGAAAGGAGCAATCAGAGAGGCCAGAGAGAAGCGCACCTCCCTCACTGCCTCCTCCAGACCCGATGGGAAGACAGGGAGGTAGACAGACAGGGGGGCGGCAGGGGGAGCAGAGAGGTACGAGGAAGGGAGAGAGGAGGGGTCTATGGTAAGAGCGAGCCTCCCTCACTGCGTCTTCCCGACTTAAAGGTACATGAGAGAGAGCTAGACGGGTTGAGAGGTGGAGGGGAGGGAGTGGGGCCAGAGGTGGGGAGGGGGGGACTAAGAGGAGGGGTCGGAGGCCGAAGAGAGGCGCACGCGCACCTCCATCATCGCGTCCTCCACGTCTGAGGGGTGTGAGACAATTGATGAGTCGACTCAAAAGTCACCTCATTTTTGAGTCGACTCAAAAGTCACCTCATTTTTTAGTCGACTCAAAAGTCACCTCATTTTTGAGTCGACTCGAGATGCGCACGTCTGAGGGGTGTGAGAAGATCGATGAGAGGTGGAGGGGTGCAGTGGAGGTGAAGGAGGGAGCCTAAGGGGTGCAGTGGAGGTGAAGGAGGGAGCCTAAGGGGTGCTAAAGGAGGGGTCGGAGGCCAGCGAAAAACGCACCCCACTCACTAACAGCCTAAGGGAAACGGGATACTGCACCTAACAGCATAAGACCCATCAATTGCTACACACCACCTGACACACACATGCTACCTACCCCACACAAGAGACCCGCCCCACGCTACTTGTTCGCACATATCACCTGCCCCACACCCTACCTTAGACACACGCCCCGTACCTCCCCCGCACACTACCTGCCACACAGAAGGCTGCGATGCAGCAGTTGCTGGTGACGGCAACGATCGCTGCTGCTGGCGGTGCTGCCCCCACTGCTGCTGCCACCATGCCTCCCGCCATTCCCAACACAGCTGACAGGGAGGGATTGGGGGAAGAGGATTACGAGAAAGGGTTTATGAGACCAATCAAAAAGTCAGTGCTGCTCCTGGCGGGGTTTGCCCCCCCGTTGCTGCTGCCATGCCACCCATATATCCCAACTCAAGGCTTCTGCGGCGCCTATGAAGTCAGTGCCACCACTCCCCAAGCCATTCGCAGCACAGCCGATAAAGAGAGGGGTTGGGGAAAGCAAGAGGGTGGGATCTTGAGGCATTCCGAACAATAGCCAGTGATGCTGACGATGCTGCTGCTGCAGCCACTTTCCCCGCCATTCCCTGACATTCACCAGCACCCCCCCCCACTCCCATTAATACCCCTCCTGTTTCAACGATCCACCCCCCCTCAAACCAACGCACCAACGCGTGGCAGTTGGTCGACACCAGCGCACGTCCTGGGCGCACCAACGCACCCCCCGTGGCCGTGGCAGAAAGCACGCGCGCCTTCCACGCGCGAAATGGCTTTTAACTCAGCCGCCGTACCAGCACACTCGCCTGTCTCGCCAACGCACCTCCAGTGGCAGTGGTGGACAGCACGCGCGCCTTCCACGCGCATCCCTCGCGGTACCCGAGGCGAGTGGGTTTTGAACAGCAACTTCGTACGCGCGCCTTCCACCTGTGAGCCGACTTACAGTCCAGTCAAGTGGCGCCTTTCACCAACGGATCTCCCCTTGACGCACCACGCACCTCCAGTGGCAGTGGTGGACAGTACGCGCGCCTTCCACGCGCGCCCCTCGCGGTACCCCTCGGGGCGACCGCTGCCCGCCATGCCGCGAGGACGCGATCCGCGCGGAGGAGCAGAACGCGCCGAGTGCTTAATGTCAATCACGTTCCGCGAATCGAGTGCGCAACGTCGCGGCGCGGGAGCGTTTTCTCCGTATCGCGAGAATCACGAGCCGCTCGACTCAACAGCGGCCACGCAGCAGCTGAGGCAATCCTAGCCGTACGTTGGAAGCCTTTAAAACCCGCAGGCCAAGAAGGCCAAATTTGGTTCATCCTTCCTAGCGTTGGTTGGATGTCCCAAAAATGCCTGTGATCATTCCCGAATTCTAGACCTCGTCCAACATTTCGGACACTCCTATTGGTTCGCAGGCCTTTTGCGTTTTCACTCCCAACCAACCTTCCTAAGGTTGAAATTCTTGGCCTGCGGGTTTTAAGATGAGATTCTAGAGGAAGGATCCGAAACCCCTCATTGCGAGTCGCAATGAGGATGGCGATGCTCGCCAGGCGGCAATTCTCTGACGGCGAGCACGGGGACGCAATGCGGCTCGAATCCACGACGATCCCTGTGGGGACAGAATAATCGACGGATGATACAGGAAGCTCCGTTTTTGTGAAGGCTGATCAGGCTAACAGGCGATTACCTCGATAAATTTCCTAGTATTCGTCCCTCCACGAGTGAGAGTGGTGATCTCGAGGCTCGACACCGGGGTCATCCCCACCCTGGGTCGGATTCCTGAATTCAAAGGTCGACCTACCAGGAAGTTTTGAACCGTCTCATTTCAAGGATCATTTTGGGCGCTAGAAGTTTCCTCAGTTGACGACAACGGGACCGAGTTTAGCGATTTTTTGTTGCAGAAGTAACTGGGAACACCTCCCCTGAGTTGCCTGTGGCGAGAAATGAACTGCAAGAAGTCGCGGAGTTACGCCGGGTCCGCCAGCTTGTGTTCGCAATACGTTTCTCAGTATCCTACTGAGTCCTGGCTTCGGCACGGAACGAGCTAAGTGAAAATACGCTCTTTAGTAGCGTCTTTTGAGCTTCGCATCATTACCGTTTTCAACCACTTACACTGCGAGTATTTCCTGGTTCAAATCAGACGAAACGCTCTACTAGGCGGCAAACGACTTGTTTGGAGGCGAAGCGGCCATTTTTTGTTTTAGAGAATTATCCGTCGTGCCCGCGTCTACCGCGTCTGACGCAGCCATTTCTTCCGCCTGACCGTTTCGCTGCCCGCACGCCCCTCCGCGCTTACAGCTTCCGCGAGCCGCCGTCTTTCTGCCCGCTTCGCCTTTTCGCGCCATGGCTCCGGTGAGTCGCGCTTCGCCGCTTGCTCGCTTGCATGGGCTCCCTTCCCCCGCCATACCTCCGCCATTCCGCCGCCGCCCCGCCTCTACCTTCTTCCGCCATCCCTCCGCGATTTCATATCCGCACACTCTCGCTCTCGCGCGTCCTCTCCGCGCCTTCATCCCGCCTATCACAGGAAAGCGCCCCCCGCCTCACCTCAGAGGGTGCAGCGGCAGGAGCGGTTTTATCATCCCCTTCATCCCCTCCGCACTTCCCCACTCTCCCCTCACCTTCCCCCACCTCATTGGCCCTTGTTTCCCAAGCGTGCTGTATCTATTGTTCCCACACCCACACACCCACCCTCCCCCTTTCTGAACGCTTGGGAGGCACGGCAGTGGGTGTGGGATGATTGGGGCGGCTGCAATCCCGCGCTAACCTCTAGGCCCTTTCGCCCCCCTCCTTTCGCCCCTCTCCTTTCGCCCCCCTCCTTTCGCCCCCCTCCTTTCGCCCCCCTCCTTTCGCCCCCCTCCTTTTGCCCTCCTCTCCCCCTTCTCTCCCACTTCCTCCGTCCCAGCCCATCTCCCCCAAGTGGCTGCCCATGTATTGGTGGCTTGCGTCCCTCCCCCCAAGCACACGGAATCTTGCCCCATGGGAGGTGCGGCAGTGGGTGCAGCAGGAGTGGGGGCAGCTGCAATTCCACTCCATCCCCCCACACTCTCCCTTTCCCCTCCCCTCCTTCCTCACACATTTCATTTTTCACCCCCACCCCTCCCCTCCCTCCCGCTACACTCTCCCTTTATCCCCCCTTCCCGCCTTGCAACCCCCAGCCGATCTCCCCCAAGTGGCTGCCCATGTATCGGTGGCTTGCCTCCCTTCCCCCAACCACACCCACCCTTGCCGCATGAGAGGTGCGGCAGTGGGTGCAGCAGGAGTGGGGGCGATTACCCCTAGAGCTCAGACGCACTCCCATGCAGCGTATAGTGCAGTACACTGTTACCGCTTTCCACCGCATTAAACACCAGGGGAGGCTGGGGGTTGTGGGTGAGGGGATGGTGCAAGGAGAGGGGTCGGTGGGGGGAGAGGAGGGGGAGGAGGATGTGGTGGGAGATGGTGATGGGATGGGGAGGGAGGCAGGGAGGGGGAGAGATGGAGGGAGGAGGGACGGAGGGAGTGGGGGAGACAGAGGGATGGGGAGAAGGGCAGAGAGGAGAAGAGGAGCAGGGGTTGGAGCCGAGGGTGTGGACTATGATGAGTGTCGGAGCAGTGGGGAGAGAGGAGATGGGGAGGAGGGGGACGAGGAGGGGGACGAGGAGGGGGACGAGGATGGGGAAGGAGAGGAGGTGGGAGAAGAGCGGAGGGGAGGAGAGGGAGACGCTGGGAGGCGCAGGAGGCGGGGAGGAAGAATGGCGACATACACAGAGGTGAGATGAGGTGGGGTGGGGTGAAGTGAGGTGAGGTTGCGTGAGGTGACTCACCTTGATTGCATCCTCACTGCACCCTCACCGCACCCTCACCGCACCCTCACACCCGAGCTTGCAGCCTCTCTGCATGTGTTCTCTCGGTGAGCCCGAAACATATATTAATGTGGAAGTTTCATTATTGACGTGACGGTTTGGCCGAGTGGTCTAAGGCGCTGGATTTAGGCTCCAGTCTTGAAAAAGGCGTGGGTTCAAATCCCACAGCCGTCACTAACTGCTGAGTTGGAAAATTTATGTTTTGGTCTCCCCATCCTCTTTTTTACTCTCACTCTCCGCTCCCCCTCTTCTTGCCTTTCCGAGAGTCAGTTCGCCAAACAATTACCTTTCTGTGCGATGAGCTTCAGAACAAAAGTACAGACAATCCTGCAATGGCACCTGTAATGTTTTTGTCAGCCTGTTCGAATTACCTCCCGCTTTCCCCCTATCTCCGCTATTTTCCCGTCTCCCTTTTCTCCCCGTCCTCCCTATCTCCCCCATACCCCCCTCTGTCTTCCAGCATCCCATGAAAAAGCAGAGGGCAGTGGAAGCAGCGGTGGGAGGGGAGGCAGCAGAGGCAAAGGAGGTGGGGCGCTTGGTGCAGCAGCAGCACTGCGCTCTCGTGAACCACTTCAACAGGTAGGTAGGGCGCACTTGAGTCGTCCGAAAGATAGAGGATTCACTGCCGTCATTTGGAGGCACATGCGTGTGTGGGCGTGGGCGTGGTGGTGAGGGCCTTTGAGACATCTCAGAAATTGCTTCAACAGGTGGGTAGGGCGCACTTGAGTCGTCCGAAAGATAAGGCATTCACTGCCGTCGTTTGGAGGCACATGCGTGGGCGCGGTGGTGGGGGGAGGGGAAGCAGCAGAGGCGCAGTGCAGGAGGTGGGGCGGTTGGTGCAGCAGCAGCACTGCGCTCTCGTGAACCACTTCAGCAGGTGCGCGAAGTGTATCTGAGACGTGTGATACATGAAGCATTCGCTGTTGTTGGCTGGAGGCACATGCGTAGGAGCAACGGTGGAAGGGAAGGCAGCTGACACACAGGAGGTGGGGCACTTGGTGCAGCAGCAGCACTGTGCTCTCGTGAAACACTTCAACAGGTGTGCTGCGGGAGACATGCGATAGAGCCTTCACTGTTGTTGATCGGCCAATCTCGGAGTTGCTTCTGAGATTTCTCAGAAGCTACTTCAACAGGTGGGCTGCGTGAAACATCTGATGGAGCCTTCACTGTTGTTGATCAGCCAATTCTCTTAAGCCTCCGCCCATGCCATCTCTCGTCTCCTCCTTCCTCCCTCCCCTGCGCGCCCGTCCTTCCCTCCAAGCTGCATGGCACACTGCAGCGTCGTGTGGCTACAGGGTGGCAGTGGGGCGGGATGACTTTTGAGTCGACTCAAAAGTCACCTCGTTACAATGTCACACGACACATCTCCTTCCCTCCAAGCCGAATGGCACACTGCAGCGTCGTGTGGCTACAGGGTGGCAGTGGGGCGGGCTCGGTGATGGGGTCGGGGGCCGAGAGATGGAACACAGTGATTTCTCCTCTATCCAGCTGTGCCCATTTTCTCCTCTCACGTTCCCTCCCGGATCCCCTTTCCTCACACTTGCCGTACCCCTCCCCTCCCAGCCTCGTGTTGATGCAGCGCCACCTGCTGCTGCTGCAGGGATGCAGCGGGAGGGAGGAGAAGGGACGAGGGGCACAGAGAAAGGCTGTAATGAGTTCTCTCTATCCCGATATCCCTACTTACCTACTCACATTTCGTTCCTTATTCCATTTTCCTGCCAGCTTTGCTTTGCTGCAGCGACACCTGCTGCTGTTGCAGGGAGGCAGCAGAGAGAGAAAGGACGATGGGCATAGAAAAAGACAGCAGTGATTCCTCTTCTCACATTCCGCCCCTTGATTCCCTTCCCTCACTTTTTTTTGGGCCCTTCCCTGCCAGCCTCGTATTGCTGCAGCACCACCTGTTGCTGCTGCAGGAATGCAGCGTGGAGAGAACAGACAACAAGAGGTTGGGTCAAGGGTATAGGGGTCGGGGAGACCAGGGTAAGGGGAAGAGGGAGGAAGAGGGCAGAGGGGAGGAGGACCAAGAGGGTAAGGGGAGCGAGGAGCAGCAGAGTGTGGGGCAGGGGGGGCAAGAGGGTAAGGGACAGGAGGACCAGAATGGAGAAGGGAAGAGGGGTGGTGAGGGAGGGGATTGTGAGAAGCAGACAAGTGCTGTGAGACGCCACGAGTTCGTCCCCCCATGGAAGCCCCCTTTCGCCCCCCGCCACTGCTCTCAGAGAGATGAAGGGCGCGAGGCGGGGAGGCACGGGG